TTTGGAGTTGAAGATAAGAGTAATCCCTAACATTGTGCCTTAGCGAACTGCAAGATAACTGCAAATTTTGACCAAAGTGTTTATAAKTTTCTTTTTTATTTCTTATACATTGTAGGTTAAATTGTGGCATGAAAAGTSGTGGGTAATATACATTCCTTCCTAGAACTGTGTATCCTTCCTAGAACTGTGCAGATTCTGTGTATCCACCCAGGACAACCCGTCCATCATCAAATATGCTGACGACACCACCCTTTGGGGCTCATCAAAGAAGGAGATGAGTCAGGATACAAGTCCTTGGTGAACAACATCCTTGTCTATGGAGAGGAGAACGACCTCATCCTGAACATAGACAAGACCAAGGAAATTATCCTGGACTTGAGGAAGAATCCCCCTCTACAGCCTCTTTTCATTGGAGGGACCGAGTTGGAGAGGCTGGACAGCCACAGATTCCTATAGGACTGCGGGTGACATCCGACCTGAGCTGGGTCCTTAACACTGAAGCCACGAGAAGGCTTTATCAGGCTGCTCAGGAAAGCTGGTCTGAGCAGCCGCCCTCTCACCCAGGCCTACAGAGGACTGATAGAGAGCATCCTCACCACGAGCATCACTGTCTGGTACAGGAATACCACTCAGGCAGAGAGGAAGGCTCTGCAAAGAGTCATTAAGACTGCGAAGGGGATTGTTGGGACAAAACTTCCGTCCATGGAATCCCTGTATGTGCAGCGCTGCCAGAGAAGAGCAGAGGGGATCAGCAGAGACCCAGCTCACACAGCTCAGTCCCTGCTTAGACTCAAACGCAACAACCTAAGACACAGCAGAGCAGACTGTATCATCACACATAAAACTCGATTCCTCAAAAGCTTCTTCCCTGTCACAGTCAGACTGATGGCAGGGAAGAAGTACTGAAAGTCTTGCCTCATGCCCCACTGGGTCTAGTATAATTTATGTACCCCTGAGAAATGTGAAATGCTGCTGAGTTGCATACAGGTCCTACATTTGACACACTGATTGTAATTTTTGTGCTGCTATTGTGGACCATCCTCTACCATGTTTAAATTTTTTATTCTTTTTATTGTGCTAATATATATATACAGTATATATATAC